ACTCGCTTCTCTTTTCCGCTCCTGAAGGCACAAACTCAAAACAGCTCCAAAGGGGCCTCCGCCCTCGGTACTTCAATCAATGGTGGAGGGGCGGGGGGGGGGGGGGAGGGTTCATTAGGAGAAAGCAAATTACAGTCCAATTGTTTTCTCCCAACTTCTACATATTTGAGCGACTTCCTCTCTGAATGCTAAACATGCACCATGAAGCAATATAATGTTCTGGGGCAATTGGCAATATTTTTCTCAGAAGATTGTGGGTTAAAACTCCATGTCAAGGTCATAATCTATGTTTTACTATAGTGCAGCACTAGTGGAGCTCTGCATTGTTGGAGGTAACTCCTCAGAACCGATGTCTGCCTGTTCTTTAAGATGTCAAAGGTCCATGTTTCTTTCATCAGCAATCCTCCAGGTGAACTAGTCATTCACCTTAACAGGCTGGTTATCAAGGTTTGCAACAAAAATAGTCACTGCACTTGATAGTTATAATTTTAAACATTTTAAAATGTTTTGGAGATAATAGGCACAATACAAGATACAAATCAGATCGATTTTCATGTGTACTTTTTCCACTAGTTCTCCACCCCCTCCACAACCCAACTCTCTTCTGGAGGTCAGTAAATAGCAGAACACCAGACTGATTCTCCTATTCATCCACCCACTTTAACATCCACTGCAGCTGACCAGGAATTGAACCTGGAACCTTCTTGGGACTTATTTTCACTGTTGCAATTTATTTCAGGTAGGGAATATTACATTTAAATATGGTACAGGATGCTTCCAAGAAGAATAACACAACACAGAACGATTTAAATAAATCTCTTTACTGGTTTGTAATGAAACATTTATATACACATTTATTTACAACTAAAACTGAACCTCAACAGCATAACAGCCTCTGTTTTTAAACACTGGTATGGAAAATAGCTTTTAACAACTTAATTTGTCAGCAACGGTGACTAGCTACATTAGTTACACACATTTTACCTCAGCCATCATTTCTGGCTTTTGGTTTACAAAGCAGATTGTTGCTACTTGAATTGTAAGATCTTCCCATGAATACAAAGATGTTCATTGCTGATTTCCCTCTCAACTGCACTGCAAAAATGAAACATATACAGGAAATATTACCTCATCCTTCTGTACACTTGTGAAAAATATGGATGATGGCATAATGTAATTAACAGGACACATCAGGAGTTCAAATCCTAATCACCCAAAGGGACTTGTTAAATTTTGATCCGACACTATTGTGAATGGGCATTTAAAAGACAATATCTCACTGAACAAATGGGCTTGTTCATTGTACAAGAAACAACATGTTTGTCAGTGATATCCTAGATGGGTATAGAATTAAGTCTTGAATTTCAAACACTCATCTTGATTTACAGTCTGTTTTACGTACAAATGTCCCTCACCACATTGATATCCTTCCATACAGCAGGCACTTACAATACATTAATGTATTTATACACAAAAATAACTACCCTTTCCTCCCCTCACTCCCAAACAAGACATCAATTCACAAGTATGTTTTCCTCCTGTCCATAAGCCAACACGGTCTACTCTGGAGGGATTTAACTAATGGTATAAACATGTGCTTTAGTTTTACGTGAACAAGTTGAATCCGGTTAGAAGGGCATTTTGTTTGGCAATTTAGAGGAACGAGTCCACCCCACCACACACGTGAGCCATCTTTTGCAGCACCAATTTTCCGCTCTCCCCACCGAACCAGATTTTTTTTTAAAAAAAAAGACACACACAAAACACTGGAAGCGCTGAGCAAAAAAAAAACAAGGAAGCGCCGCAAACGATAAATTGCAAAATACAAGTTTGTGTATTTCGCGCGAATTGGAAGATGAATAATAAATAGGTACTGGTCCTCGGTGACCGACTGACCGCAGAGCCACAAGGAGAGCATTGTGTTTGCGGTGCGGGAACAGACACAGCAACTTTCTCTGCGTGTAAAATTCCCAGAGAATCACTGAGTACCTCCCACTGCCTCTCCTCATTACCGGAGCTGCTCCATTTTAAACAGCACTCCAACGGGAGGGAGGGAGTGAGTTACCTCTTGTCCTTCAGGAGGTACCTTTCCCCAACGTTATTTTCAAAAATAATAAAAACTATTCGATTGCAAACTTTTTTTTTTCTCTCCCCGTTCAGCCGCCGCAAGACACTGGGGCTGAATGTGGTTTAAATCCCAAACGGGATTTATTTTTGATGTACGCAAAAAAGGGGGAAGAGGGTTTGAATGCAATTCTGCTCTCCCTCTCTCGCTCGTCTTTTCTGGCGAGTAACGTGCACTGTGGCGTTTCTTTGACGAAAAGTAGTCGGGGTTTCCAGAGGAGTTTGTGGAAGCGGTGGAACCGGTCTGTCCTGAAAGTGGTCGCGGCGGCAAAGCGAGAGCGCGGTGACCTGCGCTGGGAACAAAAGGCGCTCACTCTGCCCACAGCCACACACACCACAGCAAACCTCAGCCCAAACCACCTCCTAAACTTACTCCAGGCTCACCCCCCCCACACACACACACCCCACACACACACCCCCCACCAGCACCCCCTCCACCCCCCCCCAACCAACAGCACCCCCTCCACACCCCCCCCCCAACAGCACCCCCACCCCCCCCAACCAACAGCACCCCCACACACACCCACCAGCACCCCCCACACCACCAGCACCCCCCCTCCACCCCCCCCCACACCAACAGCACCCCCTCCACACCCCCCCACACCAACAGCACCCCCTCCACCCCCCCACACCAACAGTACACCCTCCACACACACCCCCACACACACCCCCCCCACCAGCACCAGCACCCCCTCCACCCCCCAACCAACAGCACCCCCTCCACCCCCCCCCCAACCAACAGCACCCCCCTCCACCCCCCCCCCCAACCAACAGCACCCCTCCACCCCCCCAACCACCAGCACCCCTCCACCCCCCCCAACCAACAGCACCCCCTCCACCCCCCCAACCAACAGCACCCCCCCCACCCCCACACACACACCACCAGCACCCCCTCCACCCCCCACACACACCACACCCCCCCCACACACACACACACCCCCCCCACACACACACCACCAGCACCCCCTCCACCCCCCCAACCAACAGCACCCCCTCCACCCCCCCAACCAACAGCACCCCCTCCACCCCCCCAACCAACAGCACCCCCTCCACCCCCCACACACACACACCCCCCCCACACACACACCACCAGCACCCCCTCCACCCCCCCAACCAACAGCACCCCCTCCACCCCCCCAACCAACAGCACCCCCTCCACCCCCCCAACCAACAGCACCCCCTCCACCCCCCCCCACACACACCCCCCCCACACACACACACCCCACACAGCCCCCCCACCACCCCCACCCCAACCAACAGCACCCCCTCCACTCCCCCCCAACCAACAGCACCCCCTCCACCCCCCCCCAACCAACAGCACCCCTCCACCCCCCCCAACCAACAGCACACCCTCCACCCCCCCCCCAACCAACAGCACACCCTCCACCCAACCAACACCCCCCCCCCCCCTCCCTCCACACACGTCAAACACCGAACTACCATTCCACAACAACAAAAATAAAGACCCCAACCCTGGCAGCAACTCACTGCTCAGATTACCACATATTTCAGCCCACAAGTCATGATTGGATACCCCTCCCCTCCAAAACACACCAGGCGGCCAAACACACACACACACAGAGTCCTCTCCCCCTCTCCCTCTCTCTCATATGATGAGGAATTAAAGACACCAACTGGTTACATTCAGCAAACCTTTCCCAGTCGGAACTTTAAACAGACTCGGTGTGTCTTAGCAGCTGCGTGTAAAGCTCTCTCTCTCTCTCTCTCTCTCTCTCTCTGTGTTTCCCTCCTCTTAACAAAATATTTATTTACGTACAATTTGTTTAGAGCTTTTGGGGGGAAACTTTGTTGGAAAATAAGAAGCAAAAAGAAAAGCCCACAGAAAGCATTGGGAAACTGAACCCCACTGAGATCCGAAACACTGACTGTCCGGCGCTTTCGGACGTCCTCCCGACGTGGAAAGGCGCTTTGCAAATATGTTGTTGTTTGATGATGATGATGATGATGAGAGGAGCGCGTCCTCTCTCCCTGGAAGGTCGGGTATGAGAGAGTGGGAGTGAGAGAGGGAGAGTGGGAGTGGGAGTGAGTGGGAGTGGGAGTGGGAGTGAGTGGGAGTGGGAGTGGGAGTGAGTGGGAGTGAGAGAGAGAGAGTGAGAGAGAGAAAGAGTGGGAGTGAGTGGGAGTGAGAGAGGGAGAGTGGGAGTGAGAGGGAGAGTGGGAGTGAGAGAGAGAGAGTGGGAGTGAGAGAGAGAGAGTGGGAGTGGGAGTGAGAGAGAGAGAGTGGGAGTGGGAGAGAGAGAGTGGGAGTGGGAGAGTGGGAGTGGGAGAGAGAGAGTGGGAGTGGGAGAGAGAGAGTGGGAGTGGGAGAGAGAGAGTGGGAGTGGGAGAGAGAGAGTGGGAGTGGGAGAGAGAGAGTGGGAGTGGGAGAGAGAGAGTGGGAGTGAGAGAGTGGGAGTGAGAGAGAGAGAGAGTGAGAGAGAGAGTGGGAGTGAGTCAGAGAGAGTGGGAGTGAGTCAGAGAGAGTGGGAGTGGGTCAGAGAGAGTGGGAGTGGGTCAGAGAGAGTGGGAGTGGGTCAGAGAGAGTGGGAGTGGGTCAGAGAGAGTGGGAGTGGGTCAGAGAGAGTGGGAGTGAGTGAGAGAGAGTGAAAAGTGAGTAACACAAAAAGTTAGCGACCGCCGCAACGCAAACGCAAACGCCAGGCTCCCGGGGAGGGAGGGTGCCAGCCCGCGGGGGGAGAGAGCCCGCGGGGGGAGAGAGGGGGGGGGGGAGAGAGGGGGGGGGGGAGAGAGGGGGGGGGAGCCCGCGGGGGGGAGAGAGGGGGGGGGGGGGGAGAGAGGGGGGGGGGGGGGGAGAGGGGGTGGGAGGGAGCCCGCGGGGGGAGAGAGGGGGGAAGAAGGTTCGGAGCCTCACTCACCGGTGGAGAACTGCGCCTCCGCCCCGCCACAAGTTTGGGAAAAGAGCAGCAGAGACGCCCAGAAGCCCACATTCATAGTGCTGTGGCGCCGCGGCGGCTGCTCGGCTGTGCCGTGTGTCTGCTCCCTGCTCCCTGCCCGGCTCTTGCCCTCCCTGCCTGGCTGCCGTGCGCGGGGCTGGTTGTGGAGCCGGGGGGCGGCTCAGCCCCTCCCTCACTCTCACCCGCGCTACTTTGTACCCCCCCCTCCCACTCGGCCCTGACGTCACTCACCACACACACACTGCCCGCCGATTGGCAGTGAGTGAATGAGTGAGTGAGTGAGTGAGTGTGAGGGAGGGGTGTGTGTGGGGGGGGAGGGGGGAGGGGAGGTCCGCAGCGCCCCCTGCCGCCTGCCCAGCGCTCTGCACCCCTTTTCCCTCCCTCCCTCCCTCCCCCCCTCCCTCCCTCTCCCCCCCCCTCCCTCTGCCTGGCCAGTGTCTACTGTAGACTGACTCTCACCCTCTCGTGTGGGGAGTGAGTGCAGCTTCTCTGTGGGCTGAGATGGATCTGGTGTCATTCCTCTCTCCCCCCCCCCCCACCCCCACCAACACATATATATATATACACACACACAATGTGCACCTTCCCCACCACCTCCACAACTTGTTGCAGGAATCGTAGCACATTCTCTCTCTCTCTCTCACACACACACACTCTCTCACTCTCCTCGAGACTTGGAGCCAAATCTAAGCAGTGAGAGGCGCAAAACCCCAGAGAGGTGCAAACCTGGAGAGGTGCAAACCCCAGAGAGGCGCAAACCCCAGAGAGGTGCAAACCTGGAGAGGTGCAAACCCCAGAGAGGCGCAAACCCCAGAGAGGTGCAAACCTGGAGAGGTGCAAACCCCAGAGAGGCGCAAACCTGGAGAGGTGCAAACCTGGAGAGGTGCAAACCCCAGAGAGGCGCAAACCCCAGAGAGGTGCAAACCTGGAGAGGTGCAAACCCCAGAGAGGCGCAAACCAGAGAGGCGCAAACCCCAGAGAGGTGCAAACCCCAGAGAGGCGCAAACCCCAGAGAGGCGCAAACCTGGAGAGGTGCAAACCCCGGAGAGGTGCAGCACTCTTGTCCGCAGTCAGCACTCCTGGAGATGGTGTCAGGCAGAAGTTGCCGTTGGCTTCGACAGCCGAGGCGGCACCGAACTTCACTGATCATCTGTGGGCATTCATTGACAGTGGGACAATTCTCACTCGCCCGGACTTTTCCTTTGCAGAAAGAATAAATATCCTTGCGAAACGGCATTAAAAAAAGACTTTTTGTTTTGCAAAATGTGGACACTCAACAAACACCCCCAACACCCCACTACCCCCACCCCACCACCCCCACCCCGTGTTAACATCAGGATCCAGTCCATTAGGATCATTCCACTGGAGCTAAATGAATGCGTTGCCTTTTGCGGTGTCGCCGGGACTGGGGAACAGTGCGCGGATTGCGGGTCCCGATCAGGAACAACGCCGAAGCTGATTTGGCACTCGGACACTTTGCCGATCCCGCAGCGCGTTGGCAGCAGATATTTCCTGCTCGGCACAGGGTGCGGAGGGTTCACGCTTATCGGCTGGGCTTTGTTTGGTTGATTTCTCAGTCTGTCCACCAGAGGAGGTGATCGCGCCCGACACCCAGTGTCACCCCAGAGATAATTGCCGTGAAGCCGGAGTCAGTTGATGGCAGTTTCAGCCCTGAGTCAGAGGGCTGTGGGTCCAAATCCCAGGTCGGGACTTTAAACTTCAATCATCGAGGCTGACAGTCCAATGCAGTCCCACAGTCTCTGCCTCTGCACTGTCAGCGGCTGCTGTGCTTCATGTGAGATGTTAAACTGAGATTCCCCCTAGAAAATACAGTCACTACACTTTGCGGTATATCCTGTGAAGTGCTTTCTAATAATAATAATAATCCTTGCATTTGATACAGCGCTTTTCACGTCTTCTCGACGTCTCAAAGCGCTTCACAAAATAGACTGTAAAGTGAATTGACTGCATATTTGTGGGCGAACGCGGCAGCCAATTGCGCACAGCAGTGTCCCACAAACAGTCGTGGATTGAAAATGACCAATTTATTGTTGTTTTTTGTTTTTCGGAGGGATTATTATTTTGAAGCTTGAAAGTCATCCTGATGTGAAAAGTAAGGACTTTTTTTTATTTTCCAAAAGTTTGAAATGCTTAACATATTAAGTTGGGTTTGTTTAAAACGTATTGCAGCAGTGATTTATTTGTTTTCACAGGTTTGCCCATACAACAACAACAACAACAAATAACATTTATTACATATCTGGAGTGTGGAGTCCTGTAGCTCAGTGGTTAGAGCACTCACTTTGCAAGTGAGAGACCCGAGTTCAATTCCAGGCAGAGGGCGAAACCTCGGGCAAGTTTCCTTACTCCACACAGAGCCTAATAATAATCCCTCCAAAACCAAAAACAATAATAAATTGGTCATTTTCAATCCACGACTGTTTGTGGGACATTGCTGTGCGTAATTGGCTGCCGCGTTCGCCCACAAATATACAGTCAATTCACTTTACAGTGTGTTCTGCGAAGCGCTTTGGGACGTCCTCCCGACGTGAAAAGCGCTATATCAAATGCAAGGATTATTATTATCATTATTATAATCTTGTTCTTGTTTTGTTATCTTCTGCCTTGACTTTTGTAATACATTTCCTACTTGTCTCCCCAGATGCATTATCCACAAAGGTCAGCTAATCTAAAACTCCACCACCCATATCCTCACCCACATCAAACTCTGTATGTCCATCACCCAATCTTCGCTTGGATCCCCTTTCTCCCAACAGATTCAATTCAAGGTTTTCACCATGATGTATGCACCCATTCATACCCTTGCACTGCTCTATTTCTCTGATTGGTTCTGCTCCCCTCTCTGCTCATTTAACCCCCCGCCAACAGCTCTCCTGTCATCAATCACCAAGCCTTCATTCGCTGTGCCACTAACCTCTAAAACTCCTTGATTTTTTTCCCTCTAACTCATTCCTTCTCTATCAGTGTTCGAATCCAACTTAAAACCTATCTCTATGATGGCGCCTCTGGTCATCTCCTCCTCCCCTTTCTCCGTTGCTCGGCGGTTGACACTGCCACTGTGAAGTTTTCCAAGATGTTCTCATACATGAAGATCACTATATAAATGGAAGTGGTTGCTGCTATGTGCAAATTGGCTGTGTGTTTGCCTAGAAAGGATGCAGTCACTAAACTTAATGCTTTTTACTTTAACACGCTTTGATATTATAAGTGCCATGCTAAAGATTATTGCATGTACATCTTTTAAAAAGAATTTTGCACCAGATTTAGTTTGACCAGATTTTTCTTACCAAAAGAGATGAGCAGAGCGAGTACTTGGGAGCAAAATGTGGTGTAGGAGGACAAGCTGGTGATGGGAGAACAAATGTTGTCAGAACATGGGCTTTTGGTTGTCTGGGGAATCTGGAATTTGGTAATGTATCCTCGCTAATCCTTTATTCATGATACATTCACTGCTGAACTCATTAGGTGCTGTCTGATGTGTATATGTATGGTTGTTCTAGAATGACCTGAACTTACATACTGTACTTCTCTCTAGTCTATTCCTGATAAAAGATCCAACATAATAAGCACTTTTTTCAGATGTCTATTATCGCTGGTGACAACAGCATATGCATGCTGCCTGCTCAGCATGAAATGCGAGAAAGCATTGCCACAATCTTCCTGTCCGCAGCTTGGGCACTGTCCCTTAAGCGCTTTGAGACGTCTAGAAGACATGATAAGGCCCTATATCAAACGCAAGGATTGTTATCATTATTGAGTAATAGTTCCAAGCCTTCTGAAGCTTAGGCTTAAGGGAAAGCACATCTGGAAAACCTAATCCCACAGTTCTGTTGAGTAGGACCTGGCTGTTAAAATTACATGTATGTTTCTGTTCAGAATTCCATTATACAAGAGAGTCAGAAAAATAACTGTTTAGTAAAGTTTTGAACCAAATATTTTGCCTTAAAAGTAGCTGTGGCTTTGATCTAACCTCAGCTCAATGTAAGTTGATTCTCTGCTGCTCATGTCAGCACAGCTAACCAAGGTATTCAACCATGGTTAGATACGATGGAGACTAGTTACAACACACTAGGGTTAAAAAAAAGTACATTGCAGTAATCATGATCAGATGGTGCTATTTATTTATAATAGTTTATATCACGAAAGTAAACACCAGAGTTCAATGAACAAAACCAATAAGCCCAAATGGAAACAATTATTTTCCATACAACATTATATTTTCTTTCATGTTATGAATAACAGGCAGCTGGAATCTCCTGTCAAACTTGCAGCATGTTAGGCTTCAACATTTTTTGGGTTGTATGTAATAGTTACTGCTAAGGCATCAAATTAAAAAAAGAATCTTTTGCAAACACATCAAAATTTAAATTCAGAAGAGAAGCAAACCTAAATTTCCATTAATTGTTGCAACCACTGCTTATTATTTGTAACATTTGGAATTATCTATTCATCAGAATTATTTGGCAGGATGTGCAACAATTCCTAAAGGCATACTCACACTACCAGACTCATGGCATCATTATTATTGATAGTTTTTGCATTGTTTAAAAAATGACCCTATTTCTAATGTACTTGGAAACAAATGCTCAAATTAAATATTTCTTACATTTTTAATCCATACCCACAAAGTTTTAGGCTGGGGGGAGTCTGATTGACATTGGGGAGGTATATGCGGTGTGGCGGTTGTTTACATGCCTGTTCTATTAACTGGATGTACTGTTATTGCATCGATATACAGTATAAGCTATGCCTTGTATGTGCCCCTGCAGTTTAAATCATGTGATTTGGTTGCAAGAGGGTATTCTGGCATATTTATCAGCAGGATGAAAATGACAATGATGGATAAGTAATAAAACTTCTCTTCCCTAAATTGCATCCATACATACGTGAATACAACAAATTAAAATGTGTTTCAATTGAGATATCAAGAAGTTGAACGGAGCTGAAAATAAATTGATAACGCTTTGTCATTGTCATACCACATGTTCAATCCAATATCCTCCTTGAATTCCCCTCTCTTGAAGTCACTGTTTTGTGCTGGTATTCGATTTTGTTACATGACCCTTGGTGCTCAATGTTGCTTCTCCCAAGTGGTAAATATCCAAGCGTGATCCAGG